CAGACTCTTTCTGTTGCCTTTCTACTTTCTACTACCTTTCAGCCACACCCCTGATCTTCTGGTAGGAAAGAACTACACCTAGCCATCTCGGACAAGGGCTAAAAATCTCGGGAGTCCCGTGTGCAAGTTGCGCACGTTAAAGATCCGTAGATGGTCCAAAGGTCGATAAGAGTAGGCTTTGGCCGCCACCCCTACCAATTGAAATTGATTTGTGTGTCCCGTGCGCTCATATTATGACCCTTTACAGTTGCGAACGCCGTAAAATACTTACCAAAAAAAAAAAAAGATGGGAAATCGTCTGCATGATGTGGCAAAGAGCCTAGCCATTACATCACAGATACCTGTGTGCTTTCCTGTGATGCAGTGTGCTTTCCGACTGTAATGTAATGCAATATTTACTACTATATACTTTTCTTTTCTTTCTCCTTTTCTCTCTATCTTAATCTTTCCTTACATGAATAACATGTCTGTTTTGTCTGGGATTTTATGTTTATCTCATTCTCTTGCGTGGAATATCCTTTATCTGGGTTTATTTCTTTTGTTCTTTATTCATTTGTTTCTGGACTAGATTCGCGTATGTAATATCCCATTACTGTAATGAGAGATTTTCTCCCTTTTAGTTGCCCTTTCATGATTGATGGCTTTTATGTCTAGTTTGTTCCAGTATGGGTTTCGGTCTGACTGTCAATTTCCTCAGTAAAGATAATTAGACTGATATAAAGATAGTTACGTTTGTGATTATGCCAACTGTCTGCCGCGTTGGAGTTCGTTGACCTCAAAATGTCATGGCCATCTCCGCTTGAGAGATGAAGTGATATTATTCTTGTGTTCAAAACCTTTCTGGGACTTCCGGGTACTTTTAAGTCGTAATTTGTTAAATGAACATGATTCCCGTAACACGCAGTAAATAAAAGAATTCTTTCGGCGTAACGCGGGACCTGGGACAATACAGAAATAGCGACACATAATTGTGCATTTAAGCATAACATTTATTGATCTTATTATTTTTGATAATTTATGGACTTTTTTTTGCTGGCAGGAGACGACTTATATGTAATGGATGACAAGTCATGCATACAGTGGGGGGTTTTTTGGTGTTTTTTTTTTTGGGGGGGGGGCTCAACACCTTTTATGTTTATTTAAAAATTCATTTGTATTAGGAATGAGAACCACATAGGGGAACTGCTGCTTTTTCTTTCTTCGTCCTCACTATCGTCATTTTTTTCCTCTACTTCTAGTGTACGTTTGTCACTCTCTTGTGAACTATTATTACTATTTCTGGGATGCCTTGATAGTCGAAGCAGACTTTGTGCTGTTGAGGCTAGAGAGTTGAGCAGAGTAAGCCTGATTCCCCGTTTGGACTTCTCTGTTGACATCCACCCCTCGGCGCTCATATGACCTTATGCAGTTGTAAGGGCCGTAAAACCTTACTAAAACTAAACTAAGCAGATTGTGGGTGGTTGGCGGGTGCTCTGGTGTGGTTTGCTCCTTCTTTCTTATCAAACATCTATCGTCCTGATCTCTCCTCCTCCTTTTTTATGTTTGTTACTGTCTTCTAACACCTCTAATCTTCGGCACTTATATGACCTTATTGTGTTGCAAGTGCCGTAAAACTCTTACAGTGGGTGGTTGGCGGGTGCTCTGGTGTGGTTTGCTCCTTCTTTCCTGTCAAACATCTGTCGTCCTTCTCTCCCCTCCTTCTTTTTGTGTGTATTTCCTCTCTTGTAACACATATTCTATTCTTCGCCACTTATATGACCGTATTGTGTTGCAAGTGCCGTAAAACTCTTACTAAAACTTAAAAAAAAACTAAACTAAAAACTCTTCTACGAAAACTAAAAGGACGTTGAATCCTGGTGAGCAAACAGGAAACAAAAAGCCAGTACGTTGACGTGCATTTTTCCCGCCTAGAGCTGGAGCAGACACAGACAGAGCGAGACACGCTGAGGTCGGAGCTCGCTCACTGGAAGACTCAGATGGATGAGGCGGTCAGTCAAGCCCAAAAGGACAAGCAGGTAGGTGGGGCTTTTTTTTTTTCTTTTCAAGTTTCCAGTTTTATTTTGTGACCGTTCGAGAGTTTTTTGCAGTGTTCTATATTTTTTCATAAACGCATATCCAGGCTCACTGGGTGACTAATTTCCTCATAGCAATTATATAATATACATTTCTAATATATATGTATATTATACATAATACTATGTTTTACCTACCCATATGTCCAATATTTTTAATGTGATATCTTTATTAGTGTTATGCTGGGCAATGAGTATTTTTATAGAGAAAATGGAAATGAGCAGCATAATAAATGCTATTTATTATTATTATTATTATTATTATTATTAT